CTCGCTTCTCGCTTCTCTCGCGGGTTCTGTATTTAACTTTCCGGGATAATTTACCGGATCGTGAATAGACGAGGGGGACCGGGGGGGGGAGGGGGAGGGGGAGGCGGCGGAGAAAAATGTGCTTGCTCGCGCGAAGGGCGAACTTTCGATTCAGCAGATTCTCCACGCGGCGCGGCGTGGCGCGTGCGTCCGTCCGTCCGTCCGTCCGTCCGTCCGTCCGCTCGCCGTAATTTTAACAGCGTTCAGCTCGGAAAGAGTCGCGAAAAGTTTTTGCCGGGAAGCCAAGAATAGGGGGAGAGAAGAGAGAATAGAAGAATGCACGCGGGGGGGAGGAGGGAGGGAGGGAGAGGAGCTACACTAATATCGGAAACTTTGCGCGAGTTTGCAGAGGTCCCGGGCGCCGAGGAGATCATCGTGGCCGCCCTGCTGCTGAGGAACCTGCAGCTGCTCCAATTCAACGCCCACGAGTTCTTCGAGACGCGGGCGAGCCCGGGGCATCGATTTCGCGGCAGTCGACCGGTCTACCTCGGCGTGGCGATTTATCCCACAGTCGCCCGTTTCAATCACGACTGCTATCCCGCGGTGACAAGGTGAGGAAAGGAGAGGGAGGGGGGGGAGGGGGGAGGGATAAAAACGTTTCTTCCATTCGTTCTTTCTCTCTCCTACGGAAAAAAAAAAAAAAAATCGAGCTTTTCGAGAACAAAGGTAGGACCTAATAAAAATCCCGTCACGAGCAATCGGTGGCTCCTTCATCGCGAGGGATATCTCCGTCAAGAGAAAAAGTTCCTTTATGTTTCTCCGTCCGGTTTACACGTTACGTAAACGCGATCTCGCTGAACTTTGCGTACCGACCAAGAGACGCACGACTCTCGTCTTGATTTGCATATTAATAACGTGGTGGCCGCGTAAAAGAGTAGACCGGCGTGAGAGCTAATTAGTATAACCAGACGGTACACAATCGCTTGTGTCAAAATTATGCGCGAATTATTAATCGACCCGCGACCGCCCGCAGTCTGTTAAGCGAAGTTTCTCCGGAGTCGTTCGACAACTTCCCGCGTTTTGTCGCCGGGAAACCCTCTTTGTTTGGCATTGTCAAAACAAATTTTCTCGCTATCGAATTTTATCGTCGTCGAATTTACATTAAATTCGCGGGCCTTTACAGAAACCTGACGAAATTGATAAGAAAACGAGATAATCCCCGTGATAATTTTAGATAAAAATTTTTACGCAGAAAAAAATACATAGAGAGTATTATTAAGTAAATATTACGTGTTTTAAGAATTTCAATAGTTCGATATATCTGCAAATCTATTATAAGTTCATGATAAGCGTTTAAATTTGTTTAAAATATATTCAAATATATAGCAAGTGTAATACTTAAATGAAGAATATCAAGTTAAATTTAAAAAATTGATTGGCTTAATCAAATCCGACTGTTCTTCGATAAAATTTTATAATATTCTTTAGAAGAAAATAAATTCTTTTTTTTTTGAGTAATACGTAATGATAAGTTTTTCTAAAAATTTGTGACAAGTGCTATTTTAAGGCTATTAATCGAGAAAATAAAATCTTTGTTGTCGAATAATCACTTTTCTTAATAATGATATTTTTCTATGTGTACGATGCTCGAGAGGTGATTATATATATTCGTCCCGAAATAATTTATTTATTAATATATACCGGGTTCGTTCAAAATTAAAAGGTATATGCAGATATAATGATGATAATTGGAATTAAGTTTTTCCTCCTGGGGAATATATATATCGATGTGCTGCGAATCTATTAGTGCTAATTAAGTATGTGGATTTTCGGACGGCACTAAAACGCGTCTGTGATGACTTCGTGGGTCGCGGTCATTATACGCGAAATTACACCAGCGTGCTCATTATTCCGTAATGTCACAAACTCTCGTCTGCAGTACTCGGTGCGAGCGGAAATTGTTACTGCTCGCGTTATTAACGTCGTCGGGGGCTATTGTGATGATTACGATTATTATTTCATCGCGAAGTAATTGCGCCGCCCCTCCCCGTTTTTCGATTTATTAACTCGTATGCTCGGTAATAACTTTCGTTTCGGATAGAGGGGGCCGGTTAACGATTTTTAACACGGTTATATTCGCGTTTGCAGTGTCGTACATTTGATTGAGGTGAAATATTTAAAATAAAATCGAGATAAAATATTTATGATAAAAAAGGGTATCCGTGCTGCGCACGTAGAAAAATAATAAATATTTGTCTGTTAAACAAATAATATAAAATATATTTCGAGACTACAAATATGTCGACAATATTCTTATATAAATTTTGATGCGCATGTTTTTTTGCGGAAAAGCAATTTAATTTGCTATTTCATTTTCACACGGGAAGGACGGTTTTGCTGAAGTGTCTAAAAATTTGGCCAAATATAAAAAAAATAATTTTGTTGGATCATAAAAAAAAAATTTTATATAAGCATGATAAAAATCATCTGTAAAAATTGTTGATATTCCAGCAATCACGTTTTGAACGTCCTACATAAATATTTTGGTGGCCCAACAATATTATTTTTGAATCTGTATCTGGTTAAATTTTCAGATGCTTCAGCCCGAGTGTTCTTTCCGTGTGTCTTCATTAATTGATCCAATTTATATTTCAACTTATCATTAATTATAATTATATATTAATAATTATATATTATAATTATAACTTATAATTAATTTCTATTTAATTAATATTTTATGTAACAATTCTTATAAGTTATAATCGACAACTGTAATTACCGTGAAGCAAGACTTGTATGACGTCGACGTCGAACGTGTTAATTTTCGTTCGACGCCAGCGTGCGTCGTAGTTAACGGAGTAGGACTGTTAGAATCCTGCTTTTGTCGGCTCGCAGATACTTTGTCGGTCGACATATCGTAATAAGGGCGGTTCGCGGTCTGCGGCCCGGCGACGTTATTGCCGAAAACTACGGGCCGATATTCACGAAGAGGACCCTCGCCGAGCGTCAAAGGACACTGGCGGGACGGTATTGGTTCTCGTGCACGTGCAAAGCCTGCCAGGAGGATTGGCCGCGCTTTGAGAATCTGACGAACGATTCCGTCAGGTTGAGGTAAGTCCATTTAAATTCCCCGAGATCGAGCCCACTTAACGAAGTAATTTAATTTAATTAAACGAACGATCGTATCGCCGTACCGCTTAAGTCTCCCTCCGATTGACCGTCTCTCCCTGTCGATAGATTAGCGAGGTAATATCGGAAGTGTGTATGTACGGGGAAAAAAAGTTACTCCTTAACGACGAGCGTCTACGACGCTCCGTATCGTGGATGGTGCGTATACGTTCTAATTAAGGCAATTAACGTCTCTCCTTCGCGCCATTTAACTTAAAAAAATGTTCGGCTCGAGTACGTCCCAAAAGGAGAATCGAGGGATGTTGGTAAACCTCGGATAACCAGTAAAAAGGCACAAGAATATCACGCGGGAGAAATAACGAGCGAGCGAAAAAGAGAAAGGGAGAGAGAGAGAGAGAGAGAGAGAGAGAGAGAGAGAGAGAGAGAGAGAGAGAGAGAGAGAGAGAGAGAGAGAGAGAGAGAG